GAAGCCAAGTATACTATTTTAAGGGAATGCGATTTTCGAAATAACGCCCATGTGCGCTATTCCGCGGTAATACGGTATATTTGTTCGTTGAATTATAAATCAATTAACGATTGCATAAATTATAAATCAATTAACGATTGCATAAATTATAAATAAATTAACGATTGTATAAATTACAAATTACAGCTTGTGAGTATAAATTTCATAAATAATCAGCATTCCAACCTATTTTTAATTGATATTAATTTGTTGAATTATAAATTAATTAATTCACATTCCAATCGATTACATAAATTACAAATTACAGATAGTGAGTATAAATTTCAACGATGTTTATTGATAAATTATAAATTAATTAACACTCTATAAATTACAGGATGTGAGTATAAATTTCAACGACTTTTATTATTTGAATTATATATTAATTAACACTCTAATCGATTGCATAAATTACAAATTGCAGGGTGTGAGTATAAATTTTCAATGATATTTGTTCGTTGAATTATAAATTAATTAACACTCTAATCGATTGTATAAATTACAAATTTTAGAGTGTAAGTATAAATTTAAATGGTATTTATTCATTGAATTATAAATCAATCAACACTCTAATCGATTGTTGTATAAATTACAGGATGTGAGTATAAATTTCAATGGTATTTATTCATTGAATTATAAAATCTATCAACACTCAAACCGATTGCATAAATTACAAATTTTAGAGAGTGAGTATAAATTTCAATGATGTTTATTCGTTGAATTATAAATTAATTAACTCTCCAATCGATTTTCAATGATATTTATTCGTTAAATTAAAAATTAATCAAAATTCAATCGATTTTTCAATGATATTTATTCGTTGAATTGTAAATTAACATTAATCAATTACAGAATGTGAGTATAAATTTCTATGATATTATTCGTTGAACTATAAATTAATTAAAACTCCAATCGATTGCATAATTACAGGATGTGAGTATAAATTTCAATGGTATTTATTCGTTGAATATATTAATTAACACTCCAATCGATTGCATAAATTACAGTATGTGAGTATAAATTTCAATGATATTTGTTAGTTGAATTATAAATTATTATAAATTAATCAACAATTGCATAAATTACAGCATGTGAGTATAAATTTCAAGGATTTTTATTCATTTGAATTATAAATTAATTAACACTCCAATCGATTGAATAATTTAAAAATTACAGGGTGTGAGTATAAATTTCAATGATATTTATTTGTTAAACTATAAATTAACCAACATTCTGATTACATAAATTACAGAGCGTGAGTATAAATTTTATAATGATATTTATTATGGTAGCTTATGCTGAGATCAGTTTAAAGTTTTTGTTCTATTTTATTATGAAATTTTTTGGGCATTTTTGTGGTATTATTTTTCGTTCTGTCTTTGAACATGTGATATTGATCACTTAAATTCCAGAACTTTCAGATCTTTTTTATATGAGTAAATTAATGCTCCGGCAATCTCATCATAAGCTGCTATATTTATTAAATTATATAAATTATTAATATTCCGTTTGATCATAAATCGTAGGGTGTGAGTATAAATTTCAAAAGTGTTTTATTTATTAACCATAAATACTCTAATCAATTGCATAAATTACAGCATGTAAGCATATATTTTAATGAAATTTATTTACTAAATTAATGTTAAATTATAAATTAACACTATAAATTTAGAAAGTGAGTATAAATTTAAATAATCGTTATTTATTAAACTATAAATTAATCAATGTTTCAATTGATACATAATCACAGTATGTGAGTATAAATCTCGATATATTAAATTATAATTTTAAGAAAATAATTTAATACTCCAATAAATTATATAACAGAGAGTAAGTATAAATTCCAACTATATCTATTTATTATTAAATCATGATCTTATAATAATTAAAATTCAAATTGATTACACAAATTACAGAGTGTTGAGTATAAATTTCAATGATTTTTATTATTAAATTATAAATTAATCAAATGCACTAATCGATTATATAAATTATAGTATGTGAGTATAAAGTTCAATGATATTTATAAAATAATAAATTAATTAAATGCACTAACGATTACATAAATTACAGTATGTAAGTATATAATATCAATGATATTTATTGGTTAAACTATAAATTAATACTTCATCGATCACAAAAATTACAGGGCGTGAGTATAGACATCTTTCAATTATAACTTCTAAAATATTTAATTAAGATAATTAATAAAAAATTTCTAGGATGTGAGTATAAGCTTCAATGATATATAAATAATTAACACATAAATATTTATTTAATCATTAATTATGCAAATTTTTAGATCGTAAGTATGGTTTAAATAATGATTTTACTATAAATAATCGATATTTGATTAAGTATATTAATTGTATGAATTATCAGAAAGTAAGTGTAAAAAAAAAAATACATATTTTTATTAAAACCAAACTTAATAATAAAAATACATCGATTGCTAGGGAGTAAGTATAAAATATTAATATTGTCCTTTCTTTTTAATGGTCCGCAAAATTCACAAAATTTTGCAGACCGTGATAAACTGATACTAAAATATTCTAATATTCTAATCATTTGCATAAATTACTCTGTAGGGAGTAAGTGTAAAATTTGATTACTTTTATTAAGTATAACTTTTAAACAGATGCATAATTAATTATATTATCTTTTAGATCGTAAGTTCTATTGCATTTATTTACAAGATTTGAGCTCATAATCATAAAATTTTAATCGGCTGTATTAAAATGCAAATTTATAGTTTGTGAGTAAAATTATAAATATATTAGAATTTTCATAATCTATTATTTAACTACTCTAAAATATTATATAATTTTCCAGAAAGTACGTATTCAAATTATTAAATTGAATTTCACAATAAAACAATAATATTCTAATCGATTATATATTTCAGGAAGTAAATATACATTTTTCATATCATTTATTATTATTGAAATGAGTTAATCAAGGTCCATTATTTTAATTAATATGCAGAAAGTGGGTATAAAAATCCAGTAGTATTTATTTTTTGTATCAAGATTGCATGATAAATTCCCCTGATAAATTTAATTACAGGAAGTGAGTATAAATTTTTGATAATGATCATTATGAGTGATGAACGTGATAAATTTAATAATTATTAATTTCGTAAACCCTAAAATTATACTGTAGAACGTAAGAATAATTTTTGATAATACTTATGAACAAAATATTATTTGCATTCAGTATCTGACAAACAAGCAGCTTATGATTGATACGTGCAGTGGGCGCAAAAAAGATCCGGAAAAATAATATTTGCCCGAATTTTAAGAATGATAAATTACTTATTCTTCTTATTATTTGAGAGAACCTTTAAATAGCAAGATTCGTTTATTTTCAAATTGTCGAAAATTTACACAATGGATGATTATTCGCAGTGATGCTTCAATACTATAAGAACAGCTGGTCTGTTTTTATAATTATGGATTTAAACGAATATAATGCTCATAGGGTCAGTCATTCATGAAATATCAACATTAAATAACGGCATTCTATTGACAACCCGATTGTTAGTTCCACTAATTTTAATGCTTGGCGCCGTTAATGCAATATTTCGAGAATTACAGATCTTATATTTAAATTAGAGATGCAGGCTAATCGTTCCAATGATTGCCGTAACTAGTCTAGCTAAAACATTGGCCTTAGCTAGTTACGGCTTAAGTAGTAACATCATTGAGACATCATTGGTCAATTCACCTGTACCTCTAATTTAAATAAACTCTTCGAGTCATACGTTGCACAAATCGAACCGATTTCGAATGCTACAGACTGTACAATTATTTCCGGATTTTTTTGCAATTACTGTAAATGACGAAACAAATACAAAAGACGAAACTATGGCGATTAATGAAACATTTATTCATGTTAATAATTATGAGGGCTGAAATTTAAGATCCTATATAAATATAATGAAATTTACAAACTCACATATACTCAAAATCGCGTCTATTGATTTCTTAATTTCTACAAAGTAGAAATTCTTTAATATTATAGAATTTCTGCACTTACAAAAAATAAGGTCTCCAAAAATGAAATATGCTACATATAGATTTAAAAAATTTATTTGTTTAATTATTTACTGTTCATTAAAGGTTTTATTAATTGTCAAAGTTTCGTCAGAAGTTGAAATTTCTCATAAAGAAGTTTTAGTCTTGTCAGTGGTAGTATTTTAATAATTTCATAACTAAATATTATTTCTATCAATTTTGTAAATTACAGAAAGTGAGTATAAATTTCAAATAATACTTATTTATTAAAATTCAAATTTTAATAACTTAATAATATACTTAATAATTACAGCATGTAAGTATAATTTTCAAAAATGTTTATTAGATATGAAATATAATAATAGTAAATTACAAATCTGATAAATAATACAATTACTTGTAATATATAGGTGCTTATAGTAATCGAAAAGTATGAACTGCCAGAAAATCTTCAAAAGCAATTAGAAAAAGCAATAAAAGATATGAAAGAATCACCAGGAAAAATCGATTTTCAAGAATATCTTCAAAAAATTGAAGATCAACTTAACTGTTTTAAAGATTTCGATGAAAAAGCTTTGAAAATTAATGATCTTAATCAAATGATTAATTTAAAGTTTGAGATTCTTTCCAGCCTAACCAATTTAAAAACTGAACTTTTTTTACTGGTTGAGAAAATGAAAAGTAATGACTTAGAAAGCATTCGTCCAAATGAAATTAATTCAATAGTTAGCAAAATTGTTAAATATTTACCTGATTGGATTGATTGTTGTTCTAAAATTACTAACAAATTTAATGATCTTAGTAATTTTATTAATACACGTAAGATAGAAGATAGTCACTTTTTTTTTGTGATCCAAGAAGAATAATAACCAAAATTGCCGACAAAAAAACAGACTTAAATCATATGTCTGAAAAACTTGATGAACCAAAAAGATATTTTTCAAGATCAAAGTCTATTAGAAAAGATAAGGTAAAAAAAATTTAATAATTAAAATTTAATAACATTACACTTACATTATTTTACTTTAGAAACAAAATGAAATCTATTTAACTTTTCTCCAAATCATCGGGTTAAAATTGGTATATGATTTGGCTACTGAATTAGAATATGCAACAAGTAGATTGCAACTTTTGGATATTCAAAAAAGATTAGGTATTTTTTTATTTATATATATTTTAATAATAAAATATTATGCTAATTATTACTAATATATAAATTTTTATTAAATATTGCAGAATTTTGGAAAAAGCTTTCTGATGAATTACAATTAAGTAAAGAATTATTGGAAAGTTTTGAAAAAAGGGAATTATATGTCAAAGAATACTATCTTAATTATTTGGTGGAAAATTTGACGGAAATAGGATGTTTAATTAATAATTTTTGCAAACAAATCATAGATGAAAAGATTGTAAAAAATTAAATTATTCTCTATGAGAATCATATACGACAAAGTTATACAAATTTTATTTAAATAAATTATATTATATTAAATATTATTAGAATAAAGATATATTTTTATCAGATTTGTAAATATTGTAAATTGTCATGCAAACTTTGTGTATTGTTAGTTTAATAATTATAATTAAATGCTTATTTAATAAACAATTACATACGTACAAATTCCAATACATGATTGTATTAAACTGAATTTTAAGCATAAGGCGTTTAAGTTCAATTAACTGATTCATATCAAATTAAACAGTTTTCAATCTAGTTAGAGATTGTTTATAAGTGTGATATTAATCAATGGCTAAGCCGGCTAATAACAGTTGCACATATTGGGGGCTGATAATTAGTTTTGTTACGCTTTACAGTTTCATCAGTTTGATTTCGTCATTTAAGATTTAAATGACGAAAGACGAAACTAGGTTTTGCGTTTTGTCAGCGCGAAACCTCGAGGTTTCGTCTAACAACTATAATAACAACATCTCATCCCTCAATGAGCATGACATTTTTATATTAAACGAATGTGGAATTGTAGTAGGCTTTCCAAATACTCTATTTCATTATGCAAAATTTTTAAAAGTTTTGAACTTATCCGATTTAGATTTTGTAGTAGCTGATTGGATCGATGATTTGAATATTAATTTGTGAAAGGATATTTCTAAATTGTTTATCGAAAGAGGTACATCATTGTCTAAATTTAATTTACATATATCTAATGAAATGATGATACCTTCCAGAGATACTTTACTCATTAGGACGAAATGAATGTTTTTTCTTTCAACTTCAAAATTTAACTGTCGAAATACAAATTAATCCATTCCCCAAAACGTTATTACATTATTAAGAATCTTAGATGATAATGCAAAGAAAATTAATGCATTAAAATTCATGGAGGTTTATGATGATGAGCTACAGTTACTTCACTCACTTGTGTTATTAAATCTCAAGACGTATCAACTTGCAATATAATTCTGGACACATTTCAGCCCTGAGATGTCATCAAAATTAATTAAATGTAATTATAATGGATAGTTGCGATTTTTCTAATGCTGATTTTAATGAATTAATGAATTTCAAAATTTGAAAGTTATTCGTGGTAATGATACAAATTGATCATTAAATATATTAGAAAATGTTCTTTATATGATTAACACTTAGAAATTCGTGTTTATTAAATTAATGTATCGAATATATTGCAAATGATGAAGGTCAGGCTCATTATTACAACGATTAGGACTTTCTTCGGAGCAAAAAGAAATTCTTTCATCACCGTTATTATTAGAAATACTTACATCCTTTTGCCCAAACATCACTTATCTTGACTTTTCTATTATTAAACTTTCTGATCAATTCCTAGTTATATTGGTTGTTTACAAAAACTTCAATTTCTTTCCTTACATTTGATTGAAGAAGAAATGAAAATAAGTGTTATGGAGTTTCTAGAATATTGCCAATATCATTTCATTATTTTAATTTACATAATAGATGGGATAATTCAAACCTATACATTTATGTTCTTAATCATTGCAATGTTCCTTTAAAAAAATTATTGTTGAAAATTGATTATGATGATAAAATCTTGACGGATGCATTAATTAGATTTTGTATAAGAAAGAAATCTTTGGATATGATACATATATATAATTTATCCACGTATGATGCTAATTGGGCTAGATTTGTAAGGGATTTATTGAATTGGTACCTTTTGAATTTATTTACGTTGCTTGTTGATTGATATTTTTCAAGGATAAATTTGTTATTCTTCACTTCTATAGTTTGAAATTATAATAATTGTAGTTTAATGCAAATTATATTATAAGTGGTATTTTGATTTCATTATGATCAAGAGATATTCAATTCGTAAATCGAATTTTTATTTTCCATTACTGTAAACGCATAGATTTACTTTGATTTGTTTAATATGAATAATTATACATAATATATTATTATATACAACTTTATAGTCAGTAAAATTAATTATAGAACTTAATATAAAACCTCATTGTAAAATAATTGTTTTTATATTATCTTTTATATATATGTCAATAAAATTTGCCTTAAGTGTACAATATAAAACTTTCGAGTATTGCTTTAATGTTATTGCATAATCTAAATTTGTATATACCTAAGTACGTGACTAATATGACGGCTAACAATAAAGGATATTATTGTTATATTGGGTTAAGAATGGCATATTTTTTTAACTAAAAAAATAAGACTATTATAGGTAGGGTTGTTAAAACACCTGACAACATAATTTACATGTAAGTTACACCGTAATTTACTGTAACTTACACGGCCCATGTGTAAGTTACAATTTATGTACTAAAGCTGGTCGAATCATGTGATAATTTTACTGGCATTAAGTGAAATTTATATAACTGATAACAAGTAATTTACGTCATTTATACGTAATTTCTGTTTTCTTTATTACAAGTAATAAAATCTCAAACGTACGTAACTTACATAACTTACAAGGTAATTTATGTCAGTTACAATAAATTTACATACAGTAAATTTACATGTAAGTTAACAACCCTAATTATAGGGCATTTTCAAGCGCCTCAATTAATGGATCAAAGTATGTCAAAAATGTGCCAGGGATTAAAATTTAAATACCGGAAAGTAATTTTAATAAATCAATCGAGCATGTCAATAAGATGAGTAAGGATGTTTATTACGTGAAAAAAAAATTAAATAGTAAAAAATGAGAAATTACAGTCAAAAAACATTTTGTCCCTAACCATCTTTTTTTTTGCCCTGACTTATCAAAAGTTTATAAATATTAAGATGAATAAAGTATTGATCAAGTGTTTCATACTTTTATTATGGATTATATATTTTTTTGTAAAATTTCGATAAACTTGTGATTGAGATCTTTATTTTGACCTATCGTTCCTATCGTTGCAATCGAGCATCCTACAATTATTAAAAAATCATAGTAATGGCAATGTTTGAGCATATCTCAATAATATCGTCAGTCGTATTATTGGCTTTTATCCAAAATGTTATGGCAATAGCTAAAATTACGTTTGAATACTTGTGCACTATTTAGATCACTATAATTTCGCATCTCGATTGATACTTGAGAACATCCTCAGGCGCACAAATCATAACTTGTATTATTTGCTTTAAATCACGGCACGCCAATAATATAATCAATATTTGCGCCTATCTTAAACATGCACAGTCTATTTAATACCTGACTCCAATCACTAGAAATTGTATAACTATTGCAAATCAGAAATATCCAATATACTGCACGCCAAAAAAAATGTTGGTAACTTGTAAAATAGCAAATAATAAGTTATAAGTAATATTGTATATCATATGTTTATTTATCTATTATATTGAATTGGATTTTTTTATTGCATACGTAAATTTTATCATCTTAAATATAAACATATGTAAAATTTATCATCTTCAAACAAATATAAAAATAAAATACTGTAAGATAAATTTCACTTGAAATATAAACAATAATTTTAAATAGATAAAATATAGTAAAAATAAAATAAAATAGAAGATAAAATATAATAAAAATAAAATAAAATAGAAGATAAAATATAATAAAAATAAAATAAAACAGATAAAATATAATAAAAAAAAAAAAAAAAAAAAAGAAAGAGCTACCAATTTAGCAGACGTAAAAAGGCGAACAAAAATCTGTTATCCGAATAATTGTGCTACCATTTAAGCGCATAATAACGTGTATCTGTGCTTTATTTAGGGCGTGGTAATTCAAATTGTTATACTAATTTCGGTAAAAAAGTTGCAACCACTAAAACCTGTTCGATGATTTCACACTGGTACTGTACATATGTGGGGAGCATATTATTTAAGATACGTATACTAGTGCGTTATCTTGAGTCTAATATGTTTTTTTAAGAAAGGAAATTTCAAAATATCGCCCAGGTGCATTATTACGGTTGGCGTATTTTAGCCAAGAGGAAAATTTTAATATAGAGTTTTTTCCGAACATAACAGTAATTCTTTAATAAATCTAAAATTTTGGTTTTGATTATAAAATTTCTCATATAACTTTTCTTTTTCTTTTGATGTTATGCGTGGAAGTATATCAAAGGATATTTTAATATTATTCTCGTTTAACCCATCAAGTAATTTTCCTTCAGGTGCACGTTCATTGAATTTTTCATTATCTACTTTATGTGGCACCTCTTTCCAACCACTTGATAAATTTGCACTTACTACAGAACAACCTGCCTGAACGACTAAAGCTATGCCCAAGCCTGCAAAGGCAGCAGGAACACTAAATGCCAATGGACTGCTTACTAAACCGAGATCAATTAAAATTTTTTCGAAAAAAGTTTTTTTAGCAACCTCTGCAGCACCTACTACGGAACCCGTGATTGTTAATGATGCTGCTGGTGCCACTGTTGCTCGTGTTGACTCTAATAATCCATCCGATACATCACATTTAGTATCAAATTCTTTAATACCTCTTAATGCAGGAAATACTCTTTCATTAATGTATACTCCACGATATTTTGGTCCATTTTTTCCACCAAGGCCTGGTTTTCCTCCTTTTCCATTTGCTCCTCTTTTACTTTCTTTAAATATAATAGGATTTTCTAATAATTTGGATGAACTATCAAATAATATAGAGCCAGGTTTTCCACCAAAACCACCTATTCCTCCTCGTCCTGCATTTCCTCCTCTCTGTCCTGGATCAAAATACTCATATGTTTCTTCATGTTTATCATTAAAGGTTATCACAAATTTGGCACACTTTTCTACACATTTTATTACTTTATCAAGGAAATCGACTTTTTCTTCGTCTGAAGAAAAAATTTTTACTTTTTCTCTTGATATAAATTCAAAATATTCTTTATTTTTTGTAAATTCTTCATCCAAATTATTACCATCTAATCCATTAGCACCGTTACCACCATCTTGACCTTGACCACCATCACCACCACTAGTATTAATAATTAAAGAAGAAAGATTAAAAAAGTTATTTCCTTTGCCATAAAAATTTCCTCCATAATAACCAGGTAGTCCAGGTAGTCCAGGTAGACCGTCTTCGCCATTAATGTTTAGTTTTTCAATAGATGACATTCCATCATCTGCTTTATTTGGGTTGTGTGAGAAACCAGTATAGCCTTTCAAATTAATTAATCTTTTACTCACAACACGCCATTGAGGTGATATCAATGTCAGATTAATTCCTGGTGCATTTATATCCTGGTCGATAAACAAGCTATTTAAGCTAAATACATTTATTTCAGACAGTTCTTGATTATTCATTGCAGTAATAAGATCTTCAGTACCAAGAATTATACCTTCAAGTGTTAATTTATGTCCATGATTATGAATTTTAAAGGACGTAAGTATTTCTAACTCATTAATTAATTCGGATATATAACTATACCAACTACTAGTATTTCCTTTAATCTCAAATGATTCGTGTTTGACAAGTTTAAAGAAATTTAATAAAGAAATGTTTTTTAAAAGTTCTTTTTTGAGATCATTGCTTTGTATATGTTCAACGATTAAAAGGATTTGTTGAAGATTTTCTTCAAACTTTTCGGGTACATCATATATAGATTTAAATTTTTTAGAAAATTCATTTAAAGAATTTCTCAATTCTTTAGCTGTGCCTCGATGAGTATCTATTAAAGTTTCAAAGTAATTTTGAATTGCTGGATAAAACTTTAGCAAAATATAATTTTTTAGATCATCATAAAATATTTCGACTAGACTGTTGATATAAAGCTTTGATTTGTCATCCAATAAAATACTGGGCTCTAGATTTGTCAAGTAAGAAATCCTTTCTATACTCTCCAAAATCGAATATTTGTCTGTATCGGAAATTGGACCTTCTTGATCAGGAGCATTGAAAATTACTATTTGACTTTCAGTAGATGATAAAAAATTGAGTATTTCTCTCTTGGGTTGACTGAAACTTTCTTGATTATCATATTCTTCAAGGATTTTACGGAAACAATTTCTTACTTTTCTAACATCGAGTTTATTACTTTTTGTTATTACTAAACATAATCCCCGAACAAATTCATCAATATTTTTAAAAGTTTCACCTAAATTATTAATAAGATTTAAGAACTCTTTTTTTCTTGTACTTTTAATTATTGATTCAGAAACAACGAGTAAAATCTTTAATTTTTCCACATTTTTGATTAACTTATAAATCGAATAAGCATTCACAATATTTTGCACAAGACCTCGTGTGTCACCAAACCCAGGGCAATCCCAATATACACCTCGACATGTTGGTAAAGAGGTCTGTGAAATAGGCCTATCATTGATTTCTATATCACTTGAATCTTCAGCATAAATAATATAATCTCCAAGGTCATCTTCTCTACTAAGCAAGGGAATCCCGGTTAAATAACCCAATAACGTAGTTTTTCCTTCTCCTGTGTCACCGATAATTATAACTGCATTTTCTTGATGAGAAATTTTTTCACTTATTTCATTAAAGTGATATTGGATTTCTTCGATTTCTTGGTCTTTTCTTAATAACATTAGTGAAAATAATTTCAATAAAGATAATTGCTTAAACTTTATCAATACGACGTACGTACATACTTATATTAATCTAACTGTGTAACCTGTCTTGCGTGGACCCAATCAAATTGCTTTAAATTGCTGTTGCCATTGTTTCGAGTTTTAGAAGCCATGTGTAACATGAGATGTAAGCACATGCAAAATGATTATTTTTGATCAAATTTGTAGATCGCTGCACCCTTATGTCAAGCAAATTTCGGGCTAAAGATTACTTCTGGGCTAAAAATTTTGGGTCGTAGTATATCAAAAATTTCTCATATATTTAGTATATAAAAATGCTCCCTATGACTAAAATTTCATGCTGGAAACTTTTTTTTAAGGTCGGGAGTTAGTTGGCATAGTAAAATATCACGTTATTTACAATTTCTTGCATTTTCTGTGTTTGTTTTGTTACACAATATCCTGTAATTTTATTGGATCCGATCTACGAAATTCATGATCGGAAGTGATCTTCAGCCCGGAATTTGCTTGACATAAGGGTACCCTGCACACTTATACAATCACCTGATTGTTGTCCGATTTCCGATTTTTAGCGAGTATAACTACGCCTAACAAAGATTATTAAAGTTACATATTTGTATTGAACATTTATCTAAGAAATCATTTTAAATCACATAATAGGACGACAATCAAGTGATAGTATAGGTGAGCAGCGATCTATACGATTTGATCAAAAAATAAATTATTTTGCAAATTGCAATAAATACTACGAGATCTTGGTACTTTGAAACAAATTTGTCCGATACTATTTCGGAAGGTTTTAATTAGTACCTAGCTTTTGAACATTTAAAAAATCGAAACTCCGAAACTACAAACCCAGAAACTATAATCTGAAACATACGTACATACGTACGTACCTGTAATAATCAATCGTATCCTGTCAACATTTATCTCATTCTTAGGAAATTTGAAAAATAGTGATAAGCTGTAATACAAATTTAGAAGTCGCATTAGAAATTATTGTGACACTGTATAAAAATTGAAAAATTGGATTTAATTATAAACATTGAGCGGGATCAAAATTCGATTTTTATTATTGCTTCATTCTGAACAATAACTCATCAACATTAAAATTAGTTATTTGTGTTATTTCCGTAATAATTATAAAACATAAGCTATATACGTGTAATTATGTTTTTAGGCACGATTATATTTAAGTAATTTTTAATATTATTTATTATCAGCTAAATTTTTTTCTTTAAAATTTCGAATTTATAAGATCCGAAATGCAAAATGGAAGAATCTAATCTTGACACCTTTTTAAATGAAAGAGAAAAGAAATATGGCGTGTGTCAGGATTGTAAAATGTTTAATACGAATAATGCTTGGTGTCTGTCACGTGACCCCAAAAAATTGATTAAGGAATTTCGTGGCACAGGAAATAATTCTGTTGACAAATTTTTTTATTGAAACCTGGCTTCAAACAAAGCAATATTGGAACTGCTTGGAGTGGATCCCGTTTGATAGATTTGAAAATTTACAAGAAATTGGGACTGGAGGATTCAGTACAGTATATTCTGCAATTTGGTTAGATGGACCTAAAGATACTAAAGGTGAACCCTGTAATTGGATAAAAACACGTAGGCCTCCTCAAACTGCTGCACTTAAAAAATTAAAAGCGTCTCAAGAAATTTCTGATGATTTTTGCAGGAGGTAATGCAATTAATAAGTTTATCTAAGTTATTTATTATGCTTATTATAATTCCATCTTCATACCATTTGATATCTTAGATTAAGTCCCATTACATGTGTAATTTGCGTGGAGGATGTTTTCAATTATTTGGCCTAACACAAGATCCCAAACCAAAAGAATTTATACTAGTAACGCACTTTGCGGATAAAGGAGATTTTCGTAATATTTGTCATCAAATTTCAGCCATCTTATGTAAATGGGTAGATAAAATATTTATGCTATGGTTAATAGCTAATAAATTAAAATATATCTACAAAGCTGGGTATACTCATCGGGATTTTCACAGTGGCAACGTTTTGATAAAAGAAAATGGTAAATATATAATCGCAGATGTTTCTGATCTGGGATTATCACGACCTGTTGATAAATTGGCTAATGAGAAAGGTATCTATGGAGTACTGCCTTATGTAGCACCAGAAGTTTTAAGTGGGGAAAGATATAGTATTGAAGCTGATATATATAGTTTTGGTGTGATTATGACTGAAGTTTCAACTGGTAGGATTCCATTTAGCGAAGAAAGTTCGTATGATGAAGGGCTCGCTATTAGGATTGTAAGTGGACTTCGTCCAAAATTTGCAGAGGGAACACCCGAATGTTATATTCAACTTGCGCATTGTTGTATAGATGAACAGCCTTCAAAACGACCGGATTCCTCAGAGCTTCACAACATATTTAACAATTGGTACAATTTTCTAAAGAGCCCAGATAGCATAGAAAAGTATTTAAGTACTAATTATTATAAAAAAGGCTTAAAAGAAGTTTTAATTGACATTTCTGAACATTGCAAAGAAGCTATTAGATTGAGCACAGCATTTCTATTGCCGATAATATGATACCAACTTTATCAAAAACGGATTCACAAGCAGTATGCACAAGTAAATTGATTAATTTCAAAAGCCTTTCTGTTCGCCAAACTAATAAACCATTAAATGTTACTGGTAAGTTATAATTTAATATTTTATATAAACTAGAGGTTGCGAATGCGGACGGCTTCGCCGCCTGTTTTAATTATTATGTATAAATGCTAATTGTATTTTCATATTTAAAATAATTTGAATAAAATGATAAAGTGTAACTTGATAGTAAGATTCACAACTTGAATACTCTATGGATTTTCAAGTTAGTTAGTTAATTAGGGTTAGCGTTAGGGTGTACATATGATAAAATCAACCCGAAAATGGGCTCTTTTATATAAATTTTGAATCCACTTAAATTCTGTTTTCACTTACAAC